GACGACGGAGAACGCGGCCGTGGAGGGGAACCTGTATGCTAGAAACCGCCGGAAGAACAGATGAATGGAGACGAAACCGTTGGGACTCGCGGTCTAGCAGCTACTTGTCGAATTGTATTTTAATCATTCTCCGATTCGGCCGTTCGAGAAGCTTGGCTGTTTGAATACTATGTGGTTATTTGAGTAATTTCATATTATGAATACTTGAGTGCTTGTTGAACACTTCATTATACGAATACCATTCATGATTCGAGTACTACTCGAGTACAGACCATTTAAATGTTACTCACATATCGACAATTCGAGCGACATTTACGAGTCTGTTTAAAAGCCTATTCAAAAAAAATTGACCATCTCGAAAGCATTCTCGTAGGTGTATGACTATTAGAATACACGAATGGAATGTAATTCTAATTGTAGATAATAAAAAAAACTTGACCGTACGAAACCTGGCTATGTAACTTTACTCAAACCTCGCTATTTGCCGTACCATTTGAAAGTTGTGTTATACGAAGCACGCTATTTGAATAGCGTTTGAAAAATATGGTATTTAAACCCGATGTTTATTCTAATACTACTCGAGCACTGGATTGATTCGACACACGACTATTCTGGACAGATAAGATAAAATTCCTATAATAGAGGTCTCCGCGCGATTTATTTCGAGGAGTACAATAGAATTGAACAGTCGTGCGTTGAAATTGTTTTGTTGTTTAGGCGAACGAGGCGATCCACCGGACGAATTCTCTCGCTTTTCCTTATGACTGGCATTACGTACGGTTAATAGTCGCGCAATTAACCACGATAACGCGGACATTACGACAGATACTCCCCGTAGGATGAAGAAAAAAAACAAAAGCCAAATGGCTGCGCGGCCGCGATATGCTCGGCTAATGTTGGTCATTGGTTACGTTTGGCATATCTAGAGTTGGGAACGCGTGACTCACCTTCGCGTATCTGCGGCGTTTGCATGGAAAACAATTTGCCCGGCTCTGACATGAAAAATGTCAGAACATTGTATGGTACTCGGTATAATTCTCGAACTTAAAGACGAACAGAGAAAAGCTTCTGTGTTCTTTTCGTTGAAAATCGCACGGGCTCAATTAATGGAATTTATTCGTTGCTTCTAATTTTTGTAGTCCTTAAGATAAGGTAGGCATGGCAACGAATTTAGAAGATTTAGAAGCGCCTTCGAGAACTGAGGAGACCGTACAAGTATCGGTGAACTAAGGTTAAACCCAGACGCACGATCAACAGAAGCTCTGCTGGCTGCTAATATAAAGTAATTCTATTAACTCTCTTGTTGTTTAATGATCGAGAATCTCTCGGCTGTCGCAAATAAATATCGAGGAGACGAGTATCCTCTCGTTTCACAGAATTGAACTTAGGCTGACGATCGATAGAAGCTTTCCTAACAACTAATATACATTAATCGTACCATCTGACCTCGTATTCTACGTTCGCACGCTTCCCACGTGTCCTCTCATTCCTAATAAATGATTCAGGGGCCTCAGGTCCCCCAGATAGACGTGACAACCGAATGGAGCTACTGAAAGATTCACTAATCCATTCGGGTGTCAGGTAACCAACGGAAAACATGAAAGTATTTTTCGAAAATGAACTTAATCACTACGACACTGGTCACAATAATCCGACGACTAACTTCTCGAGATTCTCTTCTGTAAACTAACTCTTGGATACTGGTTTTTGAATACTGACTGCTGGGTTAGGTCTGATTAGGCTGAGCTACTTCAGGTGGCTCTCCTCGTACACCCTTACCGATTCTTTTCTGAATATTCTTCGAGTCACACTTTTCGTGAACATGTTATGCATCGAGTTGCTGTCGATGTTTGAATTTTCTGATAGGTAATACCTTGCCTTATTTTTGCGCCGTTTTTCACCTAAGAACGCGTTAAAAAAAGAAACTCACTAAATGAAAGCTCCTTTTTCAAAACCAAATTAATTTCAATGTATAACCTTTGGGTGATTTCAGTCTTCGCAGTTGCGGAAGCGATGCGAAAACCTAACGATGAAACCAATACGTCGGTTGCTTAGACCCGACCGTAAGAGAGGAGGTGTCAAGCACATCGAGGTTCGTCATAGCCCCGAATCTGAGCCGAATCCGAGGAACTCCACCGCCCACCCAGACGAGCAGGCACCCCAGGCCCCAGAGGTGTCGTCGTCGCCAGCACGATTCGAGCGGCCCGTCCTCGATAGAGCCGTCTCTTCCTCCCCCATGTCTCTTTTTTTATTCATTCTCCTCTTTTTCAGCGGATAATCGTTAAAGCAGGTGTCCCCGACGAGCGTGGGAGAGTCGAGCGCCTCCCAGCGCGACTCCCAACCCATTACTATAACGAACACCGAAGCGTCGCCATGGCTACCCGTGGAGAAACACACACGTGGGGTTGTAGTAGCTCGCTCCCGTTTTTTCTCTCCCCCTCTGGCCGCGGACTAGGTCTCTCCTCGTCTCGCCGTCGCTCGTCGATCCTCCTCTATCAGCCCGCCCTCGCGGCCTCTCCTCTCGCTTAGGCGCGCCCGTGCTTTTTCACAGCGTTCGCCCTCGCCCTCCGACCTCTTTCGCCCACGCTGAATATCTCCAAGCCGAGCGTAGACCCGTCTCCTACGTTTGTGAATTAGAGCCCGAATGAGCCAGCGGCGTTACCATGGCCGCCAAGCCTGGTTGCCATCGCGATACCAGGGCACAACATAAAATCGCCACTTTGACGATTTGTTTCGGGCCATTGATGCCGCGCTGGAATCAATTTCAACCCTCCCACGGGGGCCGAACGTCGTCCTCCTCCTCCCCCCCCCCCTCTTCCTCCTCCTCCTCCTCCTCCTCCCATGCGACGACCGCGATGGATTATCCTCTGTACTTCATTTCCGAACCTCGACGTCCCGATCGCCACGTCATATGTGGGTGACAGGCATTTTCGACGAGGAATAAATTAATTCTGGAGGTGAGCGATCGAGGGAGGTAAATGTTGGCCAGGATTCTTGAATTTCGACGAGTTTTGCAAAAAGAAGACCGAGTACCTCGGATAATGGAATACTAGGTATTCCTTCCACGCTTGGTTATGGATTAGGGAAGAGAAGCTATTTGGGAGAGTCTAGAGGGTACAGGGCTCAGCTACGAGGGGTTAGGTGGTACTGAGCTCGGCTACGAAAAGCTAGAGGGTAGCTAGGTTCAGCTACGGGAGCCTGGATGGTACTGAGCTCAGCTACGGGAATCTAGAAGGTCCTAGACTCAGCTACGGGGTCTTACAGGGTGCCGAGCTCACGAAGGGTGATGACGTCTATGGCGTCGTATATTTACATAATAATTTAAACGTTTATTCTATAGATACCACAACATCGCAACCCTCCGTGGCACAGCTTTTGTGCCATTGAACTTTGGTTTGTATAACACTAATTGTAAAATTTTATGAAGTTTCGAGATGCACCGAAAAGGTTTTGAATTTGACTCCCATGAAGTTTTAGCTCGTAAGTAACCCTCTCGCCTCGCGTTACTTTAATTCTGAGCTACTCCGGTGTTCCGTGTCTTATTGCCATTTCAAGAATTAGACTACTTTCAACTTCTTGATATCTTGATATTCGCCGGCTTCGTTTTCGTTCCCCTTTTTTTCCTGTAACACTCCTCTCGTACTTTCCAGCACTTTTTTTCAATTTAATCCAAGTACCTCCGTATACGCACATTTCTCGTACCTCTTTCCTTCTATTTTAATTCTTTATACACACGTTTTCCTTCCCTACGATAAACACGCTATCATTAGCGTCGCTATTATTATTACTTTCCTAGAAACTAATTCTCCGTTCTCGACATTCCATCCTCTTAGCTTCTCACGTTTCTTTTATCGACAGAAGAGTCTTCCCTTCCGTCATCGATATTTTTTCCGCGCGTCCTGTATAGTATCTGGCCGTTCGTGCAACAAACGCATAAGCGTCGTATTCAGGTATTTAGGCGTTACCACGTGCACGTTTAGGTATAACGATCTCAAGTTCAAGCTCACACGCCACGGGCACGCGGCTCTATTTACTTGATAAAGTCGAAAACTCCTCGCGAAGTTTCTTTCGGCACGGCGCTGGAATTCGGTTGAAAATTGAATTTAATTGAAATGCTCCCTTAAAATCATTTCTCCGTAATTAACCGCGCCAAGATTTCCTATTCAATTAAACAAAAATTCACGTGAAAAGGAAAACAACGGAATATTTATTAGAAAAAAGTTTTGTTGGAATTTAATGGATTTCGAGGGAGCACGATTTCATAACCACGTATTTTTCTACAACCCTGAATCGCACCCTTTAGGTAACATGTTTGTTATTTCTCCTCCATCATCTTCCGTCTCGTTTCCAAACAATTTTCTTCGACCTCTAGGATTTTTCACAACCCATCAATTATTTCTTTTCCATTCTATAAGTTTTAGCTAGTAACCCTCGCGTTACTTCAATTTCCACCTGCCGCGAGAGGGTGCATTTTTAACGAATTTGAGGAAAACCTCGTAGCGCTGGTTTCGCGAGTAGGAGGGGTCGATTCCAGTGAAAATCGCGAGTACACCGAGGGAGAGAGAAATGTCGGAGGAAAACGACGTTTTCCGTACCCGGGCAGCCATATTTACATAACAATCGCGGATCACGTAACAGTGTTCGCGCGACGCCTTCGTAAGGTCCGCGTGTGCGTTTAGGTTTATCTGTGGTGTCGCGCACCGATGATGATGTGTGCGCACCGCGACGTGGAAAGTCGTCGTAAACGCCTCCTCTTGCGCTAGTACTCGCCTTTGTGGAACGATCGAAAGCGCGAGAGGCTTCCTCGATGATCAAACAGAAGCGATTATTTTGAAACCGTTTAAAGATACCTACATTTAGGTACATTTCTGGAAGAGCGTCGCTCAAACCTGCGGCAGGAATGTTTATTATTTAACGAATCGTTGTAGGAGAAACTGGCCTTAGTCGTTCCCGGCTCGAAAATACTGTAATCGCAATCAATTCTAAACGACGAGATTTATTTCAGTCTCATCGCGAAATCTAGATCCTTACGTATGTATGTATACTTGACACACTTCATTTTACTATTAATACTTTACTACTGTCAATCATATGCACTGGCTATTTCCATATTCGAACCATTACGATCCAATTATACAGGATGGTTCATGCGTTGTGCGCTGGACGGAGCAACTATAATTTTGCAGCGATTCCTGATAAAAAAAAAAAAAAAGTTTTGATACTTTGTGCTGGACGAGAAGAGTTGGTGTAATTTTTCAGTGAAATGTTGGGTCGATTCGTAAATGATCTGGCGCAGGTAAGAAATAGTCATGCTTAGAGGTAGCAATTTTTAATTTATTTATTAAATAGAATTAGAATTCATTCAGATTTATTACGTAACAATATATTTCAAGATAAATTGCGAGTAAAGAAAGAGAGGTTGATATTTTAACTACTCGACGCAGGCATTGATGTCTCCAGGAACTTCCATGGTCACCCATGGACTTCCATCCACAATTTCCTATTTTCGCACCAGGAAGCTACAAAAATCGAAGAAATCACGGGAACCTGATACAATTCATTACCCATAGAAATAACCAAATTCATCCTCGATGCTCGAGATTCTCCTCCAAAATCTCATTTTCAACCTCCCACGACTTCCGATCGCCCATCTCGAAGAATTCTCATAAAAATTTGTATACCGGCGGCCATTGCTGGGTTGGAAATGTCCCGTTCGAGCGATCGCGCGATGGAAAACGCGGAGCTCCGCATCGATATCGCTGATGCTCGGCTCGTATTCTCGTTGGACGACTTCGCGCCTAGGAACGATGGCCGCGGAGGAGCGGCGAAGAAAAAGAAACGCTTCTGATAACGATAAACGTCGTATCGGGCCGCGGGAGTCCCCCTTTTTCCTTTCGTCCCTTGTTACGAACAGCTCTCCATTGTCGTCGGATCGCATAATGCATCGACGTGGCCTTCCACCTCTTCGTCGAGCCTTGATCTGTTGCGAAGTTTTCCTGGAATCGAGCGCGCCGAGATTTCTCGAATTTAATCGACGATCCCGACCGTGCGGGGATTCGAATTTTTCTACGGGTCCAACGACACGCGACTTTGTAGCATGGCAGCCTGTTATCGACGTACCACGTGGGTTGCGTAACCTGAATTTTCGAGAATGCGGGATTTTTATGCGGTTTCGGGTGTGCTTTGTAGGATTTCTTCTTTGCGAAGGAATGTTGTAATTTCGTGAGGGTCTCTGAATAGTTTTTATCTTTGTGTACTTTGTTATATGCGAAACATGGTAAAGAGAAATTTGGCTTAGCCTCGGTTCTTTAATTAAATAGATTTGTTCGGGATCCTGACGAGAGTTGAAGATGAAGACGCTGGGGATCGTTTTTCTAGTTTTCTGGAAACATTTATTATTGGCACCTGCTGTTAGAATGACGAACCACCCGGGAATAAAAATTAAGATCGATAATCCTGTGTTTGCAAGTTTACAAGGCGGCCATTTTTAGCGCACAGTACGAGAATAGGACGCACACAAACTTGCCGAAGACGAAAATATCTTGAACTCAGGAATAAGGTTAAGTACGCTGTCTTTATATCAAATTTTCATTATTTTCTTCGATTAATGAAATCAGCTGGCGAGCTCCATTGACGAAGACACACCCTGCGTACGAGTGACCTAAATAGCAAAAGTAGAAACTCAAGTATTCCTCTACTCTGCGATTATTCGGTAGATTTTTAACTCGCTGTTTCGAGTACGAATTCGATAATCGAGAAGAGGACTTATTATGTTCGACGAATCGTCCTCGAACCCCAACAACTTCTCATGAAAACGAATCCATCTAATGATTCTCTAATCCATGCAAATTCTATGCGGAACGAAGGCGAACGTATTTGTCATTGTGTCGCTGATAATGCGCTTCCATTAGAGTAACGTTCTCGAACGAAGAAACGTAGAAGCGCAGAAACCGTTTTCCTTTTCAACGTTGGCGTTTCTAATGTCCTGGGCGAATTTAATTAAGTCGTCACTATGTTACGTACGCCATAGCGTTTATCAGACTATCTACATTACACCAGGCCCTCATTTAGGAACGAATTAAATAATTCATGATTAATCTACAATAACGAAAAAGGAAAGTAAAGAGAGATGTAGACGTAGAATGAACAATGAATATAATATTCAGGCGAACAGGTGAGGACCTTTTCGATCTTGAAGATGTTCGACGATGTAAGTACGAGGTGGATCGAATCACACCTAATTTGGATATTGTTTATGACGATGTTTGGTTTCTAACGTTTCTTAAGGCGAAGAAATAAAATAGCTTTTCTGAAACAGAAACGAGCACGTCTTAAATCATTTCTCGGCGTCGAAATAGATCAACAAAGCCTGGACTCGAGATCGGAGACGTCAATCGTTACGTTTCGCCACTAGCGTACCAACGCAGCAACGATAAAATGACCTTCTGCGGCACTATCGAAAGCCGAATTGGCAATAAACTGCCACAGAAGAGATAGTCGCTAATAGCCGCGTAAACATCTTTATTTACCTAGCCGTTTCCTGGAATAAAATGTCGAGGCGAAGACAGAACAAAAAATTGAATAACATTTCCACAACTGGCGGAGCCTCTCCGTTAAGTGAAAATGAAAACTTTTATGTTCTCCTATCGCGTTATTGATACATTGTCGCAGTTTTCCAGGCCGACAAGTCGACGGCGGCGTCTGAACAAATTTACACTTTTCGCGTAGATCATTTTTCCGCTGACGTACGCAAGTGCAACGTCAATTTCCATCCATCAATAATTCATCAACGAGCGCTCATGAACCCATTCAGGAATCATTTTCCTGCGACGATGTGTTCCCATCATCGGTTTCATTGATTACCCAAGTGGCTGTTCATAGGCTGTTGATTGGTGGGGTCCCATGGGGGTGCGCAAAATCCTTTGGAAGGTGAAGTGAAAATTCAGCGAACAAAATAATTCATTGAATAACGAAATTGGACATCTTCCATTCGATAACTTCTCGTTGTGAAGTTAATTTTAACCTGCCCATTCGTCAGCTTCTCGATATGAAATTTATTTTAACTTGTTCATTCGATGTCTTCTCAATGCGGAATTAATTTTAAGCCACTCATTCGTCAGCTTCTCGATATGAAATTAATTTTAACCTATCCATTTGATACCTTCTCAATGTCAAATTAATTTTAAGCCACTCATTCGTCAGCTTCTCGATATGAAATTAATTTTAACCTATCCATTTGATACCTTCTCAATATCAAATTAATTTTAAGCTGCTCATTCGACACCTTCTCGATATGAAATTAATTTTAGCTTATCCATTTGATACCTTCTCAATATCAAATTAATTTTAAGCTGCTCATTCGACACCTTCTCGATATGAAATTAATTTTAGCTTATCCGTTCGATACCTTCTCAACATGAAATTAATTTCAGCCTGCCAATACAGAAACCACCACCAAAGCTCGCCTCAGTCCCCCCAACTAAGATATTGTCCAACCAAAAAAATAATTCTCAAGCACCCGCAAACAATAACGTAACCCCATAATTAAATCTTCAAGACGTTGACACACTCGGAAGTGTGCCATCATTTTCTCACTGCAAAGATCGTCATCGTCCCGATAGTAAAAGTCGTACTTTCGCTTTTGACGAAAATTACCGCAACTGCCACGCGTTTATTGTTCCCCAGGCTGCTGCGGAGTGTGACAAGTGCGACAGTGCGGTCAGCCAGTGTGTCAGGTCGTCTGCCATTGGTCCGTTTCGCGCGGATATTTTCATCTGCGCGGGATCGTTGACCGTTACGGGCAGGAGATGCCGATTAAAACCGAGAACAGGGAGAAAGGTAACGCAACGTAATGTAAATGCGGACGCGGTTGGCGCGTGCGCCTGCAGTAGGGCAGGGCAAGACGACAGCTGTTTCAGTCCTCAGGCAACATCAGCGTTGCACCTGCCTACTTGCTTGCCTGCCTGCCTGCCTGCTTGTCTGTTCACCCGCTCGCCCGCCTGCCTGCTTGCCTGCCTGTTCGCTGTTAGCCCGCTTGCCTGCTTGCCTGCTCGCTAACCTATAACCACCTACCTACACTATCGTCGCGGGCTCGTCCTTATTAGGTGACTGATCTTCCGATTTTTTCGGCGGGCCTCGAAGGACACCACGGGGTCGTCGACTCGTCCTTCGCGATTCGAGGGATGTGGCCACGATGTGGACTGGATACAGGGGATCCTCGATTTATCTTTTACCTGAACCGTGGTGGATACTGGTAACAGTAGAACCTCGTTTATAGTCATCTAGTTGAACTCATGGCTGAGCCTCTATTACCTGAACCGTGGTTGAACCTGGAGGTTTATGGTGGAGAGCTCACGAAGAGGACAGCTCTATTATCCTACTCAGCATATTAGGTGCTTAGGAATACCTGGAGTTAAATAATATCTATAAACTCATAATTGGAATTCTTTGATTCTCGTGATTCAAATAAAAGTCCCAAGATCCTTTAATTTCAAGATTCTCACATTCACTGTCGCCCCTTTCATATCGTCCCTGTCAATCCTTCGTCTGTTAATAATAAACAAACATGCGTTCGTCATTCGATATCTACGTAACCGAGGCATCGTCTCTCGCCGACCGACCGTCCGTGTAGACCGCTTGGTTTTCATCAAGGATCCGCTCGGTCGTCCTGACCCTGCCATAAAACAGTCGCACTCCAAAATGCGACGAGCCATTTACCGTAAAAGGTTCCTAAAAGACGACGACGCTGACACATAAGTATACTTAACTCTAGGAGTCTCTTGTTCCTCTACACTATTTGGCAAACAAAAAGATTCGTTTACTACCATTCTTGACTACCATGGAACCCATCTCGGAATAATGCAAAGAACACGTCCCTTGGTTATGGTTTTCCGCGTGCTTTACACCAGCCCCCCTCGGAATTATGATTTCAGGAAACCTCTCGATACGTCGAGCAATAAATTCCACTCGAGTACCCCCGCAGCGCAATTTGTAAGACGTCCACGTAAGCACGTGTTAAGAACGTTAGCAGTTTATTTTCGGACGCGTGCACGCATAGTTCGGTGACGCCTAGTGTATCGGACGCGTCGTCGAACGTCGGCGCCCGCATAAGCAAGCGCGGCACGCGTCACGACGCCCCCGTCGCCGGTAAACAACGCGGTGGAAACGAAAACTAACGGGATTTAAAGACCGATCTCCGACTTTCGACCTCTACCCCTCTCTTATAACTTAGTTTTCCTACGGGGGAACCATGCGACACCTGCTCATTTTATTTCTAATGCAATCGGACTGTCGATGGTATCGGGAATCGATTATTTAAAACAGGGATCCCGAAGAGAATCGGAAGTATTGCAGACTTGACAAGAACAAAATGACAGAATAAAAATTGAAGACACGATTCTCATTTGTCGCATGGCTTCTTTTTTTATTTCAAGTTACGATAGTACGCAGCTATAAGCCGCAACAATCGAACAGGTTTGATGTCGTTAGATCTCGGCTGGCATTGGGGGCCTGGTAATAAAAATCACGACTTAGAAGGTGAACGCTGTCACTGCAGGCCTACTTCGTGACACTAACGGAAGTCTCTTGGCCAATCGATCCATCGATTCTTGGTCAACGGGTCAGTCGGATTAAATGGAAGAGAAAATTAATGTGGCTCGACATCGTGGAATGCTCCTACATTTCACTACTCCTGATAGACCACGCTCGCCTTCGTCGATCTCCGACAAAAAATGCTGTACAATCCTAAGAACCCGAAGAAAAATTGAATTTTACCCGTAGAATCTCGTCGAGTAAATGTAAAATGTATCGTGAAATGACTCGAGAAGAAAAAAACGCATAGATGTGTACGTACGAAGATGGTAAAGTTATGCCAGGGCTCGTAGCCGTGGTTTATTACGTTTAATTCGCCGTTTCTGCTCGGCTATTTATTAGACCGCGATCTAATCATGGAGGGTTACGCTAATAAATTGCCGTAACGCAGGAATCCAACTGAAGATTTCGTGCGGGCATCGTTTCTGTTAGCGGAATCTAAGTAACGAGGTATTTTCTCATATTATATGGCGTACGTGGATCTCGTATTATACGCGGGTGCATCGGCGAGCCTAAGCCCGTTGCTTAGAGCTAACTGTAACGTCTCTTTCTCCTCGCAATTGGCCAACCTGCTCCTCGCTATTTCTCAGACTCACTCGAATCCGTGACCTTTTTGTCGTCGCGTTTTCTTTTCAGCCCCGTCGACCTCTCGATCCGCGCGCGCGCTCTCAAACAACCGATTCGCGTGTTACACTTCGCAGAAATCGCATCGAGCGACAGGCATCCGGCGAATAATACGTGACGCGATAATTGTATCTTTCCAGAATCAAATTAATTCCGCCCTATCGGTACAGCGATCTACGATTTCGCGATACTGGATATCGAGACACGAAGCGTTCGCGATAAATCATTGGCGTTCGCAAAAATAAAAGGAAATGGCAAAAAATAATTACACAGGCGTAAGAAAATTGAGAGTCTGCCTTTGGGAGGGTCTCGAAGACCCGATGAAGCTGCGCCCGCGAGGATAAAGCGATGACAGATGTTCCGGCCGCATTAGATAATTAATCTGCCCCGACGGAGAGGATCCCGAGAGTCGGGCGTGGAGAGATGATTATCGAGCGCGTCTAGTTTTATTAGGTCGTCGCTGAAGGGGGCGGTTGACCCCTGACTTCGTGCCCTTTTAGTACCCCCTCCCCCTCTCTGCCCGTCTCCCGTGATTTCGGTTCAACGCGCTGCGGATAACTAAATCTACCGCGAGGAATCCCGTGTGAAAAGCAAACCCCGTTGCCACACAAAGAACTTTGGGGTTGGGAAGGTAGATAATTAAGCGGGGTTTGTCGTGAATTCATTCGAATTGTGGGTGAAACGTTTCTTTGGTGAGCCAGCAGGTCTAGAAAATCGACTTTTTTCTTTTTGCTCAAAAATCTTCCTAAAGTTTTTTCTCAAAACCACACGTTTACCAAATTTGCGAAAGACACAGCTCATCGAATTTTTCTCCGATTCACTCGATTCAAATCTTAAATTGAAGATAATTAAGTTTATACGCGGATGAACCTCAACTCCCAATGAATTATTATCATTATATTATAAAGTTATCGCAAATTAACGGTCGACACGTTTCGTTCATTTTCACGCTTTTTCCGTCGTTTTTGCAATTAAACATTTTTTTTTTGCGTAAACCGAGGTTCACCGTCACTCTCTCCCGTGTTTCGAAAATAAATGAAACCATCTCCCGTGTTCGCGCGGAGTTTGGACGATCCTCGAGCTCCAGTTTAGCAAGGAACACCCACAACCGCGTCGACGATTCGACGGACAGGAAGAGAGCGTAGATCGATTCCCAGGAAGCCAATTAAAGCAAAAAGTCGGTGATCGATCAGGCGAAAATGGGAGCGCGGCGGGAAAGGACGAGGATCCACCTACGATACGGGGAGAAGGATAAACAACCGATCTCCCCTCGGACTAAAAAAAGAAGGTTCCTCGGGCTGGTTTCCTCTCCTCGGTCCCCTTTCACGTTCGAGAGGGCCCTTTGGTAGCGTGGTGAGCCACGCACCCTGACATTATCTCCCGGTTTATTATATAGGTACCTGGTGGCACGCGCCGTCCAGGCAACAGCTGCTCCTGTGCCGAACACCGGAGGTGGATGAATAAAGTGAGAGGCACACCTTGCTGCAGACGCGTGCCGGCAGCTTTCAAGATGTGAATACCGAGATCCTTCGGTAAGTCTGGCCGTTGCCCTTCTATCTCGAGGAATCGGACCTGGCGAGCCTTTCGAGGATACGGAAACCGTTGGTCGCTGTTTCGTTCCGAAACTTCCGTTATACAGGTTCTTCCGTTAACCCTTTCATTGGAAGTCGATGTTTTTAATTTAAAAAAAAAAAAAACATCATCTTAGAGAGAGAGTGATAAGACGAAAGTTTTTTATATTTACGGCCAGCTCGTGCCACGTTTAGCTTCGAAAATAAAAATTCGAAACTCTTCTTACGTTTGTAACCTAGCACCTCAGCCTCTATCTCCAGTAGCCTATTCAAATAAATAGAATAAAATAAATAGGAGGATTGGACGCGAGGAGAGAGGCTTGCCATCGCTCGAAGGCGGCGTTGGTTCGTCCAGCGTGAAAGTAAAAGTGAGAAATTACCTGAAAATATCCGCGGTCGTATCTGGGTTAACGGAACGTCGAGGAGCCCGGTCTCGACTCGCGATCGCGTCGTCGGTGCGTCGAGTGATAAAAAGGAAAAAGAAATTTGTATTCGAGGATCTTCATCCGAGCGCGCATTGTTGGCTCAGGTAGCAGGTGCTACCCTTCATGCTCCGGGATGAATACTCGCGATATACAACTGGAGCTGACTCTTACACATGCGCAAACACGGGTCCCGCATCTGCAAGATGGTCGCTACGTTACGCGCATTCGCAGATGCGCCCTGTCCATTGTCGTCCATTGACTTTCAAAGTAATTTCGGCGCTCGGTCATTTTTTTTTCTTTTGTTTTTTCTTCGGAGTAATACTAACGAGTTCGTTAAGACCGATGATAATCACTGGGACGAGAAATGTTTGCGACACGGTTCTATTCGCAGGTGCAACAACTTTCGGTGTGGAGAAGATTCACGCTTGGGGTCGAAAGGTAGAAGCGATACGTTGCCCTTGTTGATACCTTAATTTGATCATTGATTAATTTCGACTTGGCAGAATATTCGAAGGAACCCGAGTTGACGTTTCAGTCGAATGAAATGTATCTCGTACCAGGATAAAAGTTATAATTAATTTCGAGTAAATGCTTGGCATTCGACTACTTCGCTTCGGTATTTTAATTTATCGCACACCAAGGTTTTTTTTAAAGTTGACGATTGCTTAGACAAAGGTCGAAACGTTTAGGCGAACTATTATTATTTAAATCGTGCGTGCGTTAACCATCGTCATTTTCCTATTGATTTCACATTTCGCTTGAGAAAATTGCCGGCGATAAAGCGCACTCGGCTCCACTCGTTTCCGCGGTAGACTTGCAAAGAACCAATCAGAGTAAACTGTTTCAACGAGAATAGCTTCCCAGGTTGG